CCACTATGCCATTTTTCTCCTCTCGTGGTAAAATATAGTTTTTGCTTATTGTCTCTATTTCCTTGCTTCTTGATTGACTTAAAAAAAAATCTATTAATTCAACAACATAATGTGCTCATACGATTAAAGGATCTAATAGTATGGAAGAGATTATAATGAAAAGTAACAGTCCCCATCCTACTGCTTTCTCCTCCTTCTGGATCCAACTCCCCAGAGACAAACACTTTAAACATTTTTTTATACCTAGTTTTTTTGTCATTACTGCTACGTCTCTAATAATATGCTCATACTGTTTTTTTCTCGGTTAATCAAATTTATATATTCTGACTTTCTGCTATGATAGATAAAGACTCATCTCATTTTTATCACCTTCTACTTCTCCTGCTGGCCGCCTTCTCCACAGATATGATAGTTTTTAAATGTTTTTATTTTCTCTATTGTCTGCTCTCGTAACCTTAAACAGTACACAGTCAAGCGTTGCTTGATGACGGAGAAACAGTCTGAGAAATGTGTCGTTAGGCAATTTGGCCACCGTATAAACATCATAGACTGTACTTGTATAAACCTAGATGGTGTAGCTTTGTAATCTTACGGGACCACCATTGTATATGCAGTCCATCGTTAACCGGAAAAGTCATTTTGCACACATAACTATATTTAAACACATATTTCTTGTTCCAACAAATTCTATCACTGTCTCATAACTTTGTAGGATATTAACACTCCTACCCTTCCCTCCACCTTTTCTTCCCCTTCACTACCTTTCATGTTCTGACAGCTGTACTTTTACATTAATAGCATTATAATCGGATAAATTAACTTTCTATTCTATAACTATGATTAAAACTTAAGTGTTTTCCTCTGTAAGTTGAATTTAAAAGTTAAAAAACAATAAAAAGAACATTTATATTATTATGACTTTGTAAATATTATTCATGCAAGTCCTACTAATGGGCTTAGATTATATTTCTCTTAAGGTATAGGGTCATGTTGCTAGCATTAATTAATTCTTGGCAGCATTTTTATTAGAACTCACACTTAGTTTAAAATTGGACCAATTGCTTTTTAGTCCTTTGAACAGCTTTTTCTGGAGATTTATTTTTCTGTTGAACTCTTGGAGTTTTCCACATGTTTGTACTCTTCACCTTTTGCTTTCTTTGTTTTCATGTTTTGTTTCATTTTGTTGGAGTGCATACTCAAGTAACTTCTTAGAAAGGGTACATGAGAGGTAAGCGTTCCAAATGATTGCACTACTTGATTTTGCCTGCCTATTTCTTGATAGCTCAGCTGGATAGAGCATTCTAGGTTTAAAATAATTACCCCCCAGAACTGTGAAAGTCTTTTATCAATACGAAGATACTTCAAAATTTTGTGGAAAAATAGAATTAAAATATAATAACAAATCTTTCCATGAACGTTTTGAACCCTCATATGGTCCCAGCATTCCGTATTGCTGATGAAAAGACTGATGCTAGTCTAAAACTTTTTTTCTTTGTGACCATTTTCCCTTTGGAAGCATTTAGAAGCATCTCTTTAAATTTTGTCACAGTGTATCTAGGTGTAGAGTTTTTCGTTTTTATTTTTCTTTCATCTCCTTTAGTAGTTAGTGGATTCTTTCAATTTATTTATTTTTTATTTATTTTTGTGTGTGTGTGTCTTTTTTCGTGACTGGCAACAGATCGCAACCCTCAGTGTCGCGCCCGTACCGGACCGGGACCGGCAACGGGATCACAACCCTCGGTGCTGCAACCGCACCTCGCTCAGCCAGTGAGCGGCCGGTCTGTATGTGGGATCCGAACCCTCGGCGGGAGTGCCGCCGCACTCCCAAGCGGCGCACTGTAGCAGTGCGCCACCGGGCCGGCCCAAGGATTCTTTCAATTTAAAGAGTTCTTTTTCTGTTCAGCTCTGGGAAGTTTTACAATTTTCATTTGATTCCTCTCCTCCATTTTCTCTTTATTTCTGTAATTCTTACTGTTTATATATTAGGCCTCTTGAATTTACTCACTGTGGTTCTTTTCTCTAATTTTTCTAAACTGACTTTATCTTTTATGCCCTCTTTTAATTTTTTTGTGAGTAACATTTTTAATTTCTTAGAAGCATGTTCTTATTTTATGAGAGTACTTTTCTCTGAGCATCTTTTTTTTGTTTTATGGGTGCAAATATCTTCTAAACTTCTCTGAAGGAACAGGTCATAATTTTTTTAAAGTTGTCTTCTGTTTTATCTAGGTGGTTTCTATTTATCTTGGATTATATTATGTTGTAGGTTTCCTTCAAGTATCTGGTGTTCTTTGGTTGTTCATTCATATTGAAAATGAGGGAATTAGAAAGATCACATAACTTTTATACATGGAGGAAAGTTGTTAGCTGGTAGACTTCACTTTAAAGGCTCTGTGACTTACTAGCTATGTGATCTTGGGCAAGTGATCACAAAGCTAGTAAGTGATCTTTTCAAATGAGGCAAATAGGGCCGGCCTGTGGCTTACTTGGGAGAGTGTGGTGCTGATAACACCCAGGCCATGGGTTCAGATCCCTATATAGGGATGGCTGGTTG